GCTTCTTTGTTATGCCTGTGCCGAGAAACCCCAGCACTAAGTCTGATGCTCCTCCCCTCCTTGGCTGTTCTAGACGGTGTTTTCTTACCTGCACCTGCCACTCTGCCTGCTCCTCCTGTATTGACTAGCTGAACCAGTGGTGCTTCCCAAAGTAGTCCCGTGCACTCTCCTCCAAGAGGCTCACAACGGTATCTTAAAGTCCTCATTATTTTGTTATTCTGCAAACTGGAACTTGGTTACTAACCAGCAGCCACTGGTTCCCACATACCAGTAGATGAACTGGTGCTATCAGACTCAGCTGAGTAGTCCTGCGCCCTATGCTAAGTCCGGTAGGGCCGAAGAACCTGCATCAAGAGTGCTTCTAATGCCTTGATCCTTAGCCAGCCCTAGATGCTTGGCTTTTGTCTCTTAATATTACCTTCAATTCTGGATGGACTCCAAGTCTCTCTGGACTCTTCCCGCCCCCAAATTCTTAGGGTTATAGTTTTTCTCAGAACCTCTGGGTTTGATTAAATTATAAGCTTAGCCTGCCATCCTCACACCTTGGAGATTTCATTTTGAAATGGATCTACTTGCTAAGTTCTATGTTGTTACACTGCAGACTTCACGGAGTCAAAGTATAAAAAATAGGATACTTATGAAATATAGACCTCAATTTAGGGATTTGAGTGCACTGAATATGACTGATACCCTTCCTTCTGTGCCAAGATATGGGACACCATGTTCCCTTTTGTCTGTAACAGGAAACCTCTCTCCTGAGAGTAAAGTCCACATCTAGCTTATGGTTGCTGAGCTGCCCCAGGCTCTCCTCACTTCTAAGTGGTGTATAAACTAGAGGAGAGCATCCACTATTTCCTGGATGAAAGCTGACTTTCCAGTTGATATGCAATAGGTGGCTTTCCCTTGGCTACCGTTCACCAGTTACTCTTTCTAGTGACATCTGCAAACCACTAAGATACAAAAGTCCATGAACTGGAAGGACAGGAGCTTTCCACTCTTCCTGGGTAGATGGCTGCCACTACACAGCTGCCTTGCTCCTAGCAAAGCGCAAGGCCATGATTCCAGGGCCACAGGAAAAGCACGGCTTACATAAAAAGGATCATTAGAACTTGGGAGTCTGACGATCTGGAGTTCAAACCTCAGCTGTGTCAATTATGAGCTCTATGAATTCGGACAAGTCACTTTACCTATCTGAGGCCAATGGCCCTCATCTGAATGTGAGTCATTTAAGATACTATGGCCCACAGCATGTACTCAGGAGATTTTTATTCCTTTGTTATCTCTTCCTTTCCTGGTAGCAAAGTGGTTGAGGTGAACTCAAATTCATTCACCCTCCTCATCTTTGACTGAATTACCAAACAACAACAACAAAAAAATCTGTTTTGACTTTAATGCTTGCTGTACTTAACAGCAATATTGACCCAAATACACCATATGTAGGTCTTTAGCCTTGTTTTGCATCACATATTCTGTTTTTTTACTATAAAAAGTTTATGGTCCAAATCAATAAACTATTTTGCCTGTTATAATGAAGGATATTTGTTTTCCAGATATGCTCTAAGAACTCCTAGGACAAATATCCCTTACTGCCTTTTGCACGTTACATGATGACCCTCCTTTTTGGTTATCAGATGAGCACTCTGTTTGAATGTTTCTATTCCAGAAGGTGAGGGAAGGGATGCCAAGCCCTGGCACTGAGCACTCAGCTTCTAAATGCAAATCAAATTCCCAGACAAATTTTAATGAATTGTGGGGACAGACTCTTAAGTGACCTAACGTACATTTAACCCCAAATCAAGAAGCTATTCCATAGCTGGAAGTTGAAAACAAAGAGGATGAGAAAAAATTGTTCACAAAACCTCACGTTGATTTAATTCCCTACTGTGAAAGACTTGCTTGTTTTTCCTCTCCCTTTGAGTCTTGGAAAAAAGAAAGGAACTCATTTCTCCAGTGGTTTTAGTAACAATGAAATGAACCTTGGACTTTCTCCATTAGAGGGGATTGAGTTGCGATCCTCTTCAGGAGAAATGCCAAGCTGCCACTTTACCCATTTATACCCAAGAACGTCAAGTAATGCCTTTATAAATCAAATTTCATTTTTAAGATACTCAATCTAAGTACCTTAAGTGTTGTATTTTTTTTTTTTTTTTTTTTGAGACAGAGTCTCGCTCTGTTGCCTGGGCTAGAGTGCCGTGGCGTCAGCCTAGCTCACAGCAACCTCAAACTCCTGGGCTCAAGCAATTCTTCTGCCTCAGCCTCCCGAGTAGCTGGGATTACAGGCACGCACCACCGTGCCTGGCTAATTTTTTCTATATGTTTTTAGTTGTCCAGCTAATTTCTTTCTATTTTTAGTAGAGATGGGGTCTTGCTCTTGCTCAGGCTGCTGTTGAACTCCTGACCTCGAGCAATCCTCCAGCCTCTGGCCTCCCAGAGTGCTAGGATTACAGGCATGAGCCACCATGCCCGGCCAAGTGTTGTATTTTTTAAAGCAGCACATCACCTGTATGTATTAAAGTTCATCTGTTGCCATTCTTCTTCTATTTAGCCTGTGTTCCTTTTGTTTCTTTCTTTCTTTTCCTGCTGATTTATTACAAGTCCCCAATAGGGCTTTATTTTTTCTTTTTACATCCTGTTCTGCAGCCTCCTTGACTCTTTTTGCCCATATGCCAAAGAGCTAGGCATTGGTGCAGGCCACACAAAAACTGGTGAATGCCTTGAAGTTCTTCTCCTCCTCGACAATGACTCTGGCTTCTCCTAGACATTCCATATGGGTGTCACTGGTCCTGTCAGCTGGGTGGCCAATTTGAGTTCTTCAACAGAACTGTCTCCCTTCCTGGGGGCCAAGGGCTTCCTGGGGAAGGGAATGAGCTTGCAGGTAGTACTCCTCCAGCTGCTGCACATTGGCCTGCAGGGACTTGGTGGACTTGTTCCTCCTTCTTGGATCCACAGAAATACCAATGGTCCTGGCCACCATCTTGAGGATGCCAGCCACCCTTAACTCATCATGGAGCACCCTACTATGGGCCGGATGGGTGCGGATACAGAGCGAGGGGTGATGTGGCATGTTTTTGCTTGCTGGGCCTTGCACCTGTGGATCTTCCAGGCCAGCTGGTTGAACCATGTGGCACGCACAGCTGCCAGTCCTTGTGGAAATGGGGCTTCAGGATCATGCCATTCCAGCTGGGTGTCACGGCTGCTTACAGCCCTGCTCCGCAGGAGAGCAGCCAATTGGAAAGGCTGTGTTCCTTTTCTATTGCTACTTTCTATTGCTTTTCTATTGCTCCTGAGGAACTGAGGCCTTCAGTCCAACAACCCCCAAGTAAGCTTGGCATCAGACCCACCCCAGTGGAGCCTCGAGATCCCACAGCCTCAGGAGAGATCCTGAGCCAGAGGATGCAGCTTGGCTGCACCCAGATTTCTGACCCAAAGAAACTATGAGACAATAAATACTGTTTTAAGCCACTAAGTTTTGAAGTGGTTTGTACGCAGCAATAGATAATACAGGCCACAAATGGCTTGATTAAATCCCCAGGCTTTAAGGAAAGGCTCAGAGAGGCCCTGCTCTGTGTTTGTGCCCCTCCTGCCCCTACGGTGTGAGTGTGCACTTGGCCCAACTGTGTCTGACTGGTGTGCCCCCTCCCACCTATCTGGAGCCACCCCAACCCCTCACAGCCTGACTAGAATGCCGCCTTCAAGACTTGGGAAGTAAAAAGTAACATCTCCACCCCTCTGGAAAAAACTGTACCAAAGGAATCTCTGTCCCACTAAACCACTCTTGCTCCCTAAATGACAGGAATGAGGAACTTTATCCTGACTTTCCATTCACTGTCTAGAGCAATGGTCTCTAAGACAAGCAAGATAACCCATGAGGCTGCAGGGATAAAATGCAATTTTTATCTAAAAAAAGAAGAAATTAAGCTTTACAGATATCTCCTCTACAGGCTGATCCTGGGGCCCCCAGAGTCAGGGTCATGTGGCCACATGTCAGGTCAGCTCTCAGAGGACGGTCTGTGCATGGGCCTGGCAGAGCGGGGCAGGTGGCATTCACTGTGGGCGTGTCACTGGGTGCAGCCCTTGGCAAAGAGGACACACTGGTTATGTTAACTCTATGTTGGTATTAATCCAAATTAACCCTTGCAAACAGATGGGGTAGACACTGCCGCAGAGAACCACAGTCTGAGCACTAAGGTCAAGCCAGGGAAACGTTACGGAAGTGGCCAAGCTGTTCTGCTCCTGTCGTGGGTCCGTCAGCCACGTTAATCAGTTTTTTTTGTTTTTTTTTTTTTTTTTGAGACAGAGTCTCACTGTGTTGCCCAGGCTAGAGTGCCGTGGCATCAGCCTAGCTCACAGCAACCTCAAACTCCTGGGCTCAAGTGATCCTCCTGCCTCAGCCTCCCGAGTAGCTGGGACTACAGGCATGCGCCACCATGCCCGGCTAATTTTTTCTATATATTTTTAGTTGTCCAATTAATTTCTTTCTAATTTTAGTAGAGACGGGGTCTCGCTCTTGCTCAGGCTGGTCTCGAACTCCTGAGCTCAAACAATCCGCCCGCCTCGGCCTCCCAGAGAGCTAGGATTACAGGCGTGAGCCACCGCACCCAGCCGTTAATCAGTTTTGTTTTACCTCAAAATAAATTTTAGCAAGAGGTTGGCAAAAAATATTGAAAATTGTTAAGAAGATAATTTCAAGTACAGTGAAATCTGCTCTCATGTATTACTATATTGTGCTGGGAGAGATTTGCTAGTCATGGTAGCACCTAGATGAAATTTATAAATAAATTGTGTATTTGTGTACTTTTAACTTTTTACCAATAAGGGTATAAAATTAAAAAAATTGGCAACCATGGATCAACAGGCTTTTACAGCTTTTTCTAACCTATCAGAGTCTAAGAACGGCCAGCAGGACCTACCTGACCAAGGAGGTTAGAGGGTTAAGAAGAGAAGAGAGAAAAACAAAATAACTAAATTTATTCGTCCTCTGCAGAACATTTTCCCTGAAATAGAGTGTCCCTGGCACCTGGCCCAGCTTCCATAACCGAATAGGAAGGACCGTTCCCTCCCTTTACTCACCAAATAACCCAAAGCTTTTAAACAGACCCCGAAACCAAATCAGAGCGACGGCAGTGGTGTGCCTGCCACACGTCCAATTTTAAAATATTCCAGCTGCCACAGGAGAGGCTCTTGGGAGTGGCCCTCAGCTCTTGAGCCTGCTGCCACTCTCAGGGGGAGGATGCTGGTCCTTTAAGAAGGAAGGGCTTTGCTGCCTCCAGGATGTCCAGACTGGGGTCCAGAGAGCGGCCAAGCCCCTCCAACACCATGATGGCGAAAACAATTGAGGCAAAGTTGCTCTCAAGCTTTACCTGGAAGAGAAAAACAGTGGTTCTTCCTGAAATCAACTGATACAGAGACAAGTGTCTTGGATAATTGTGTTACTGTCCACTGTCAGCCTCCCTTGGACCTGTCCATGGGATTTTTACCATCTACCTGATGTTCTTTCCTCTACCCCATCATTTTCCCACCAATATCACCTACTTGGCTAGCCTCCCATCTACTAGAAATATTCAGGAAAAATCTGGGGATACAATATATACTTTTCTAGGTTTGTGTCTATGTGTATATGAATGAATGACTTAAAAATAATCAAATATTTTTTCACAGACATCACAGAAGCTATAACTCCAAATAAGGGTCATTCTTCAAAATCTACAGTAGCCTTTTTAAAAGACTACACACAACTGCTCAAACAGGGCACGGCTTCCCCTTTGCAGCCAGATTCACAGTAATAGCAATTTATACAGATTATTCAATTAATCTTCAAAAGTACTATCATTATCCCCTTTCTATAGAGAAAGAAGCGAGAGCCCAAGGAGATTAAATGACTTACTCAAGGCCACTGGGTGAGGAGGAATAGAGCCAGAATTTAAACCTAGAAGATCAGGAATCTGTTTTTCAAGTGAACAGAAAGGAAATGAAAGGTTCACTCGTGGGGAAATACTTTGTTAGAAATTGAAGAGTATTTTTCTCAGTTAAGGCCTGGAAGGTTGTCTGGGGGTCAGATGGGCAAGATGAGAAAGTTCTAGAGATCTGTTGCACAACAATGTGAACTTGGTAGATACCACTGAACCCAGGAGAAAGCAGTATGCTCCCACCAGCTGCTTGTGGGGCTCCAGCCTGGACACAGGAAAGCGGACAGAGGGTCCTTGGCCCCCAGGCTCTAGTCAGGTTGGGGACCCGGGGCTCCCAAACTGCTGGGAATGCTTTCATTCTTAAGTTGAGTGGTGAGTTCTCCAGTGTGTATTAGATTCTTTTACCTTTATGTTATTGTCAAATACTTTATTAAAAAATTAAGTGCCACCCAAATAGACATTTCTTCAAAGAAGATATACAAATGGCAAGCAAGCATATGAAAAGATGCTCAACATCACTAATAAGTAGAGAAATGCAATCTAAACTGCAACTGGTATTGCCTCACACTATTAAGATGGCCACAAGGGAGAAAAAAACAGAAAATGACAAACGTTGCTGAGGATATGGAGAAATTGGCCCCCTTATGCACAGTTGGTGGGCATATACAATGGTGTGGCTGCTGTGGAAAATGGTACAGAGGTGCCTCAAAAACTAAAAAGACACCATATGATCCAGCAATCTCACTATTGGATATATATCCAAAAATCTGAAAGCAGGATCTTAAAGAGATATTTGTACTCCCACGTTCATTGCAGCATTATTCACCATAGCCAAGAGGTAGCAGCAATCCAAATGTTCGACAGAATAATGAAGAAAATATAGTATATACATACAATGCAATATTCTTCAGTCTTAAAAAAAAGGAAACCCTGTCACATGATACAACATGGACAAACCTTGAGGACATTATATTGAGTAAAATAAGCTAATCAGAGAAGGACAATATACTGTATGATTCCACTTTCGTGACACACTTAGAGTAGTCAAAATCATGGGAACATAAAGTAGAATGGTGGTTAGCAGGAGCTGGGTGGAGAGGGAAATGGGGAGTTGTTCTTCAATGGGTATAGAGTTTTAGTTTCACTAAAAGAGAAAGTTCTAGAGATCTGTTGTGCAATAATGTGAATTTGGTGGACATCAGTTGAGCTCTGCACTTGGAGATGGTTAGGGGGATAAATTTTAGTATGTGTTTTTTACCACAATTAAAAATTTATGGCCGGGCATGGTGGCTCATGCCTGTAATCCTAGAACTCTGGGAGGCCGAGGCGGGTGGATCGCTCAAGGTCAGGAGTTCGAGACCAGCCGAGCAAGAGCAAGACGTCTCTACTAAAAATAGAAAGAAATTATCTGGACAATAAAAATATATATAGAAAAAGTTAGCCGGGCATGGTGGCGCATGCCTATAGTCCCACCTACTCAGAAGGCTGAGGCAGGAGGTTCGCTTGAGCCCAGGAGTTTGAGGTTGCTATGAGCTAGGCTGACACCACGGCACTCTAGCCAGGGCAACAGAGCCAGATTCTGTCTCAAAAAAAAAAAAAAAAATTTAGAAATTTTTTAAAATATTAAGTGCCTAGTGAAGCGCTTAGAATGCAATAGCTACCCTAGGCCCTCTATCTACTCTTCCAAATTGGGACTAACAGCAGCAGCAGCATCAAAACTTCAAGGCCCTCTTAGCCACTGTGTCCCACACTAAGTGTGAGGAACAGATGTGCAGAGTGACAGCACTGGAGGCAGGAGGACAGAGTGGGGTGAGCCTGCAGTGCCTGGTCCCCATCCTGCCCCAGGTCACATGGCCACAGGCAAGCTGCTTGGCCTTTCGGCATTGGTGCCTGCCTCTGGGAATACTGAGGGGATTAAATCGGATACTAATAAATGTTATATACCTAATCTAGGTACCTGGGGCAAGCAGAGGGTACTCTCAGCACACTGCTGTGATTACTATTGTCATGGACATATCCAGCCCTGGTGGCAACCCTGGAGGCTTGGAGAGGCTTGTGCAGGTCAGCGCTGCGGAGGAGGGAGTGGAGTGACTCAACTGATGTGACCTCATTCACCTGCTCTGCATCCTGTGCTCTAAGGGACTGGAGCAGCCAGGCAGGGGCCAGGACAGCCCTGCTGGGGCCTCTGAAAGCATCAGGACAAGGGGCACCTCCCTCCAGGGCAAGCCCTGTCCGCAGGACTTTGACCCACTCGGCAGAGAGCAAAGTATCACTTACATTAATACCAAGCATCACTAACATGAACCAGGGAGGGAAAAGGCTTGTAATGTCTGAGTTAGACTGTTTTTATATTTTTAAATCCATTTTTCTCCATCTAAGTATCACAGACACTTAGACTGCATAAACTTGAGAGATACACAGACTAACCATGCTAGGAAGGAAAGGCCCTGCTGGGCCCACGTTGGGAAAAAATACCAGCATTCTTGATGCAGATGGCTCCTTACTAAAACACTTTCAAAACGTAGGGAAGAGAAGCAGCTCCCGCCACCCTGTGCCCTGCCCTGCCCACCCCGCCTTCCCCAGAGACTCCCCTCACCTTGTGAGCCATCAGTAACTTAAACACGCTGGACAGGAGGCTGGAAACATGAAGCTGGAAAACAGCACGAAGCCGAGTGCAGACGTGAGCCTCCCAGAACCACTTCTTTCCCAACACGCACACGCTCCCAACACCCCCCACACACACACACATACACACACACACACACACACACACGCACATGCCAGCGAGCAGGAAGGGACTATCTGACAAAGTCCGGAAAGGACGACTCCCACTCTAGCTCAACTCCCACCTTGAGACTCAGGCACTGACACCTCGGAGGCCCGTCTACCCCATCCCTGCAGCAACCACAGAAAATCACGTCTGGACATGCTAGATCAGCAGTGCCAGGGTGTCAGTGGCCACTCTTTGTTCCGACCCACTCCTGCTCATGTGGGCATGAACTTGGGAGAAAACAGTCATGTTTCTTAGAAGTCTTTGTAAAATGTAAAGTCATTTAGATGTGGGTCAGGTCTGAATGAGGGACAGGAGCATTGAGCGCATCCTCTGGCTCTCAGAGACCCCAGTCCTTCCTCCATCCATGCTTGGCCATTTCCAGAAGACAAAGTACTCCCTGGATGAAGGTCACTGCCACAGCAACCACCCCAGGACAGCCTGGCCAAGGAGCCCCTCCTGAGAGCCAGGAACTTCACTGGGCCCCCTCATGCCTGGAAGATGTGGGGTGTTCTTTATCCGCCTTAAAACTCACACCCTCTTGGGACCTCTCTCCGTAGAGGGGTCCCCCTTAGACCTGGGATTTGCTCTGTCCAAGGGCAAGGGCAGTGGACACTCCAAGGCCCCTGCCCTCGAGCGACCTGCCCACCTTCTCCAGGGTGATGGTGTTCTTCCTGGCCTGGGTCACCAGTGTGGCCATCTCGGCTTTGAACCCCTCCACGTCCCTGCACTCGTTGGCCCGAGCATGACGCAAGATGAGCTCGGCCACCCTTTGGCCCTGGAAGATGCAAAGGAAAAATGACTTGGTGGAGTCGAGTGAGCATAAAAAAACTGGAAGCTCTGCCAGACTTCTTCCACATCTTGGTGGCTTCCACCCTAATTTTCTACCATCCTGCTTTTGGCTCTTCCTCTTGGGGCTGTGCCCTTTTTCCTTTGCCCACACCTGTACAGAGGAGCACCGCCAGCCCCCACAGCACACCTCTGTGTTTGACCCTGGCCCAGGGCACACTTGCAAACCAGCTTCAGTCTCTAGCCTTGGGTTTGCCTCCTCGGAAGCCTTGGAAGCAGGGACCCCCCTAAATTTTGCCCTTCTTTTTTTTAAACCAGCTCTCTTTTGCCCAGGGTCTTTCCTGCTGGATAATTCTTGGCCAGCCGGCCAGGGCATCTCACCATGATCACCCTTGATGTTGCACTTTAACTTGACTCAGTAGAGACTCTGCTAAATCCCTTTTCTCTAAATAATAATTCTCAACCACGGAGCCCCTCAGAACCACGGGGGAGGTCTGAAAAACTACTCACATCCTCCACCCAAGAGACTCCAGCGTGCCTCGCCCCCCTGGAGAAGCAGCTCTCCAGGCTGCTGCATCTCACCAGCCTGTCACCTCGCAGCAAACAGCACAGACCGGGGCAGCCACTGTCCGGTCAGGAAACCAGTGTCCCCGGTGCCCGCCGGGCATTTGCCAGAGGAGGAGAAAGTAGCAACGCGCAGCAGCATTTGGAAAGGAGGCACTTCTTCCCATGGTCCCAAACCACGAGCTGCTGGCAGCTGGCCTGAGTCGGGCTCCAGCCCCTCTCACAGCAGACCCCGTGGGGTGGCTTCGTTTCCTCTCCTCTCCCTACTCCGCTCACTTCCAGCGGGAGTTTGGCAAAGGTGGGCATTTGCCAGAATGGCCGGATTGAGGAGCCCACATCAAGACAAAGGCAGCTCCCCAGGGCATAAAAGATGCACCCCCAAGTGGGTCTGACCTGCCCCATCACCACAGCCACGAAAACTGCGCGGAAATTCCTCAGGTCGGCAGCCTGCAGCTCCGCCACGATGCCGGCGTCCAGCAGCACCAGGCGCAGCGGCCGCAGGGCTGGCACCAAGGCCACCACCAGTGTGTCACAGACGTCCACCTGCTGCAGCCGTGCCTCCCGGCTCAAGGAGAGACTGTCGGCACCCTGGACCAGGATGTTCCCGGGGTGGAGGTCGGCGTGCACAAAGTTATCCACAAATATCTGGAAAGAGATCCCACTGCTCACGACCAAGTCAACCCTCACTTCCCCAGCACCACCAGGTCACACGCAGAAAAAATGCCAGGGGGACAATAAGCTCCCAGTGATCTATTCAACAGTAAAGAGGTGTACATTTTAAAAAACTCATTGTTTGGATGTCATCAGTTCAGAATTTGTATAGGGATATGCTAAGTTGAAGTTTTCAAGAGAAAAGTTATTTTCACTCATCCCCAGACTTGGTCGTTCTCTCTGGACAACTCCCTGCCACCTATCCTCTCACAGTGACACCTACACCTCCTTCACATCCCAGCTGAGAGGGAGCCACTTCCTGAATGAACCCCTGGGTTAGCACAGGCCCCTCCTAAATGGGCCTTTGGTACCCTGAACTTGCCCCTGCATACCATTTGCTGATTACGTGCCTGTCTTCCCACTGAACTGGACGCTGTACTCTCGTCAGCGTTGCTCTCCACTGCAAACCCAGCACTTACGTCAACACCTGGCATGTGGCAGGTGCTCAGTAAATACTTGCTGACCAAATGACTAAAGTAGCATTTAACATATGATGTCATCTTGGCTGTTTATCTAAACGACAGGTAGCCTGGGCAGGAATGGGTCATGCTCACTGCTCTTCCCATAGCACCCAGAGCACGGGCCACCGAGAAAGGGCTTAACACTGCGGTCCCCAACCCCTGGGCTGTGGACCATTAGGGATTGGGCCACAGAGCTCCACCACCCCGTTTTCGCTGCATTCTCCCCCACCACCAGTCCATGGAAAAATTGTCTTCCATGAAACTGGTCCCTGGTGCCAAAGAGGTTGGAGACCACTGGCTTAACAGATGCTCTGGATACATGAGCACTTTTGCAGGCTCAGCACTCTCTAGAGCAGACTTTCTCCCCGTGGCGGCTTGCTGCTAGGCTTGCCCTCCCGCCCAGATCCCAAGCAGAGTCCCAGCCAAAAGCCAGGCCTGAGTGCCACTCTGCCCCCGACCGAGCTCACCATCTTCAGAAGCATGTTGATCCCCAGCCGCGCAATCTTCTTTTTCAAGTCCACGGGAATCCCTGCCTGCTGGTAACTGGACACAGGCACACTCTCCTGTAGGGAAGGCCAGAGAGAGGACAGCTGTACCCCGGCCAGCTGCCGGCTGCCCGCTCCTCACTGCACGGGGCACGCAGCGCTGCCTTCCCATGGACTGGGAAAGAACCCGGAGCTTCACCCTTCTCAGAGCCCCTGATCAGTCCATCGGCCACAAGCTGACTTGAATGTATTTACATTTCCTTTCAGTTCTACAAGAAGTCCCGTAGGTTTATTAGAAAGGAAACCCATCAACTCTGGACTGACAGGTAAGAGGTGGAGAGCTAGCTTCTGCTCAGAAACCAGCCAACAGGGACTGGAATGGGTTCTGTGGCCTTGAGCAGGAAAATGGAAAGGAAGTGGAAAGGAAAGAAAGAAGAAAGGGGAGCTAATAAATGTGAACAAGGTTGTATATGGCTTAGTTCAGCCGTCCCCAACCTTTTTGGCACCACGGACCGGTTTCCATGGGGCGGGGGAGGCGGAGCTCAAGCTGTGACATAAGCCACAGGGAGCAGCTGTAAATATACAGATGACATAGGCCGGCTCCTAACAGGCTGTGGGCCCCCACTGGTCCTCAGCCCAGGGGTGGGGGACTGCAGGCTTAGTTTAACTGTCAAAGCAACCCATGGAGATAGATCTTGTTTTCCCTAATTAACAAATAAAAGAACCACGGCCTGGAGAATTTACTAACTTGCTCAACGTGGCACAGCTAGGCACACTGGTGGCTCCTGTCATTTCCCTGAATCTCATATCACCATCTCTAAAGAGGTGGCTGGACTAAGGGACAGCTGAGCAAATGCCACAAATGCTGTGGAGCACTCTCTCTGTGCCAAACCGGGCGTCTTGCGTTCAATGTGGCATTTACTGCTGGGACAATCCTATGAGGCAGGAACCGTTGCCTTTGTCTCTTAGGTCACCAGCTAACAAGATGGCAGAGCAGATTTTCAAATCTAGGAAGTCTGAGGCCACGTCCAGTGCTCTGGGCCGCCTTGCTGCACTGCCCTCCTGCCCACCCCCCACCTCCCACCCCCCACTGCCAATGTGTCCCAGCTCCCCACAGCGTTACAGACAGGAATCACGTCCTCACTCCAGACTAAGCCCCCTGTGGGCCAGCTGTGAGCAAAAGGCACGTCGGGGAAGCCACCAGGCTTACTTCGTATGTTTCCACCAAGACATCCCTGGTAACAAAGGGACGCAGAGGGGTGGGGAATTTGACAGCCTTCACATTCTGGAAGTTGCGCTGGAAGTGTTCTAGATTCCGAGCTTCGTAACGCAGGTCGATCTACAGAGAAACGGAGAGAAAAGGTGAGGGTTAGTCTGGGCACAGGGACAGCAACACCGGAAATGCAAAGCAGCTAGCAAGTCAGCAGACTCACCCTGCCTTTCCCACCCATCTTCCCCACAGAACTCGCCAAGAAACTTGGAAGAAGATATTCAGTGGCTAAAGGCTGCCCCCGAAGCCCAGGATCTCTGCATGAATGCCCTGAAGCTCCAGACAGCAGGTGCCCTGGCAGGGTGGGGGCCGCGCTGCTTCTGCACCATCCTTCCCTGCCCACCCACCAGCTTCCCACCAGTCAGTGGATCCCCTTCCTGTCGCCCAGGGGTTTGCCTTCCATGACCCAGCCTCTGGTCCTCTCCTTCCTTAGGGTCACCCTGCTGTAGCCACTTCCTCCACCCCAGCACCCATGCTGCCACCACTACACTTGGCAATGGCCTTTGCTCGCCAGCTCAAAGGCCCAGCCCCTACTACTGGCTCGGCTCTTTCTGAACCCTCTTGTCTTACGCTGGCCGTGGCTCTCCAGGCCCCCCCCCCACCTCTCTAACTGGCCTGTGGCAGTGGTCTCCTGACCCCCTAGAGGCCGATGCCTACCAGCTCCCAACCTCCACCGTGCCCCCTGGCTGGTGCCTCCTGGTGACAACACCTGATCTCCAGACCAGACCTCAACACCAGTCTCCAGACTGACACATTCCACATCTGCACGTCACCCCATGGGAGCCCAAAGACTCTTTTTTTTTTTTTGTGACAGAGTCTCACTCTTTTGCCTGGGCTAGAGTGCTGTGGCGTCAGCCTAGCTCACAGCAACCTCGAACTCCTGGGCTCAAGCAATCCTTGGGACTACAGGCATGCGCCACCATGCCCGGCTAATTTTTTTTTTCTATATAGTTTTAGTTGTCCGATTAATTTCTTTCTATTTTTAGTAGAGACGGGGTCTCGCTCTTGCCCAGACTGGTCTCGAACTCCTGAGCTCAAACAATCCGCCCGCCTCGGCCTCCCAGAGTGCTAGGATTACAGGCGTGAGCCACCGCGCCCAGCCCCCAAAGACTCAAACTCTGTGTCTGAATGGACTTTCCCTTCACTACCCCATGTACTCAGTCACCACAAGTCCCAAATCACACCTTCTCGCTTCCCCTCCATGAGGCAGCCCCCTACCCTCACTGCTTCCAAGGCACGTGCTCTCACCTGAGTCACCTGAGCCCCAAAAGAGGTGCCTCAGGTGGGTCCCTATCCCCATCTTCCCTCTCTCTCATCCATCTGCCTGGGGCTCCCACACCTGCACAGGGAAGGCTACAGCCTTTAGGATGGTACCCAGGTGGGTCAGGATTTGGCCTCTGCTTCTCTCTCCAGGTCCGCCTCAGGTGGCACCTTCCCCTTCCTCACCACCCAAGACTCCAGCCTCACCCAACATCCCAGACTGTCTGATGCCCCTGCTCTCCTCTGCCTTCTATACAGCCTGTGACTAGAATATTCTTCCCCCATTTGGTCCAACTGCAGACACCAGTCACCTTTCAATACTTAGCTCAAGCCTAGGGAGCCTTTGCCCTCAGCGTAAGGGTGCACCGTCCTCTTCTGAGCCCCAGCTGAACCCACCCGAACCTGTGGGGACTCCTGATCACACCTAATTTGCAAGTATTTACACATTAGCCCCCTCTGCCCACTCCATACAGTCCTCCCTTGCTATCCCCAGGGGGCTGGTTCTAGGACCTCCCCGATACCAAAACCCATGAGCCTCAAGTCCCTGATACAAAATAGTGTAGTAGTTGTATATCACCTACGCATATACTCCCATATACTTAAGTCATCTGTAGATTACTTATAACAATACAATGTAAGTGCTATGTAAATAGCTGTTATACTGCATTGTTCAGGGAATGACAAGTCTGTATTTGTTCAGTACAGATGCAACCATCGTAGGCCTAATTGCATTTTCTTTTTTTGAGATGGAGTCTCACTCTGTCACCCTGCTAGAGTGCAGTGGCATCATCATAGCTCACTGAAAGGCCAGCTGAAAGGCCCAGCCTCAAACTACAGGGCTCAAGTGATCTTCCTGCCTCAGCCTCCCGAGTAGCTGGGACTACTGGCGCTTGCTACTACACCCAGCTAATTTTTTCTATTTTTTGTAGAGACAGGGTCTTGTTCTTAATCAGGCTGGTCTTGAACTCCTGGCCTCAAGCAATCCTCCTGTCTTAGCCTCTTAGAGTGCTAGGATTATAGGCATGAGCCACTGCACCCAGCCCCGAACTGCATTTTGTATCCACGGTGGTTGAATCCACTTTAGTGGAACCCACAGGTACAGAAGGCCAATTGTATTCCTTAGGGATAGGAAAAGCTCACTTGTTTTCTTAATTCATCAGCTTCTAACAGAGTTTTCAATCACTGTTATATGAATCTATAAATGAATGAAGAGAGAGAGAGATACTCACACATATACACCTGGACCTACAACTCTAAGGTTTCCAGCCAAGGAATGTGGGGGGACTACTACTGAGAGATACAGACAGGCTCAGTAGGAAGAGCCAGTTGCTAAGACAATTGGGGTGAGACATAGAGACGTGAGTTTGAAGCGACAGGACCCCATGAGGCCTGTCAGACTTCTACAAGAGGAATTAAAGCTCAGACGGGAGCTAGGACTGAGAGTAATTAATTCGGAGATGGCTGTTGAAATAAAAGCTGTATTCTGTCTTAATTTGCTTTTATTATCAAAACTACACTACTACTCCATAATATAAAGCAAAGCTTTCTGCTATGGTCTAAATGTTTGTGTCCCCCCAAAATTCATATGTTGAAATGCTAACCCCCAAGGTGATAGCATTAGGAGGTGGAGCCTTTAGGAGGTGATTGGGTCACAAGGGCAAAGCCCTTATTACTGGCTTAATAAAAGAAACCCTAGAGAAAGCTGGGTGTGGTGGCTCCTGCCTATAATCCTAGCACTCTGGGACGCAGGGTGGGAAGATTGCTTGAGCTCAGTTCAACACCAGCCTGAGCAAGAGCAAGACCCCATCTCTACAAAAAATAGAAAACTTAGCCAGGCATGGTGGTAAGTGCCAGTAGTCCCAGCTACTCGGGAGGCTGAGGCAGGAAGACTGCTTGAGCCCTGTAGTTTGAGGTTGCAGTGAGCTATGATAATGCCACTGCACTCTAGCCAGGGAGACAAAACAAGACTCTGTCACAAAAAAAAAAAAAAAAAGAGAGAGAGAGACCCTAGAGAGACCCTCACCTCTTCCACCATGGGAGAACACAGTGAAAAGACAGCTGTCTGTGAACCAGGGAGCAAGCCCTCACTAGACATCAAATCTTCTGATGCCTTGATCTTGGACTTCTCAGCCTCCAGAACTGTGAGAAATAAATGTCTGTCGTTTACAAGCTACCCAGTTTATGGTGTTTCGTTATAGCAGCCAGAACAGACTAAGAGACTTGCTGAACATTAAAATGAATCCCTAGGACTTAAAACCTTAAATCAGAGGATCTAAATGAAGAATTGGCACATTGCTTCTGCAAACCTGCCAATCCCTGCGCTATTCAACAGGGAGCCAGTGCAGATGCCTACTCAGAGTCTCGACCAACCCTAAAGTACGTTTACCACATCTGGCCACTTATACAAATGTCCCAAGTGAACAGGGAGGAGGTCCTTGTCTACTCAGCCCTGGAAACAAAGCAAAACAAAGTAACAGAGTGTGACTTTGCTAAGTATTCTCCTCACCCTGTAGTTCAGTCATTGACTGTGGCACAAAAAATACTGTATGTTCCACCAGAATCATTTGTTTTTCTTACCAGGCACAAAATTAGACTGCATTTCCTAAGCTCCCCCACAGTTACCTTGGGCCCATGTGACTAATGCTCAGTGGACTGAGAAGTAACATTCACTCCTTCAAGGCATGGCCGCAAAATCTTTTTTGTTTTTGAGACAGAGTCTCACTCTGTTGCCTGGGCTAGAGTGCTGTGGCATCAGCCTAGCTCACAGCAACCTCAAACTCCTGGGCTCAAGCTATCCTCCTGCCTCAGCCTCCCGGGTAGCTGGGACTACAGGCACTTACCACCATGCCTGGCTAAGTTTTCTATTTTTTGTAGAGATGGGGTCTTGCTCTTGCTCAGGCTGGTGTTGAACTGAGCTCAAGCAATCCTCCTGCCTCGGCCTCCCAGAGTGCTAGGATTACAGGCGTGAGCCACTGCTCCTGGCCCGCAAAATCTCTTATGTGATCCTTTCTCTCTAGTCCGCACTGAGCCCAGATGACACATGTTGAAGAAGGCAGTGCCAAATTTGGTAGGAAATTGGGTCCCTGAAACTATGGAGCAGAGCTCCCTCCCTCTCTCTCAGTTCACCTACATGGAACTTGGATATAAGCAAGACATAACCTCCTCGCATTAAGCCACTGACATTTGGGTGTTCTTTGTTTTATCAGTTGAGCGTTACCTACTCTGACTAAAACATCACACTAGCCATGACACACTGGGAAATAACTCATTCACTCAGCATTTATTAAGCAGCATCTAGTGGCAAGAACTATGTTAGGTGCTATTTACAGCTGAGGGAAGGAGAATTCACCTGTTGGATCATGAGCTTCTCAAATTCCTCCACAATCTCGGGCAAGCTAAGCCACTTGATTCCTGGCAAAAGTCCAAGGACTCGGCTGCCAATCTTCATCAACAGCAGGTCCATATGCACCTGAGAGAGCAGGCCAGGGTGCAACACCTGCCAGAAAGAGCCACAGTGAAACAGGAGGAGCAATCAGACAGGAGGACACATTTTACATGGCCAGGGCTGGGTCCCACCATCAACGGAGGAGCCAGGTGGCTTCTCATCGGAGGAAAGAGGATGCTCGTTTCCGGAGCAGCAAACTCGCAGCAAACTCCAAATCTTCCTCCTTTTCCTCTCTCAGACTATTCATACCACCACTCCCTCAAGCCAAGAAACAAAACAGCTTGCACGTAGCAGACACTCAGATATTGGTCAAGCAAATAGAAATAAATGGAAGGCAAGGAGGGGGTGACTTGCATGGGGGTTTCTGATCTGGGAAAGCCCAGTGGGAGGTGAGATGTGAGCTATCAGAGATATACTTACTTTCACTGCCACAGGGATGAGGTGATCTGGCTTGGGGCAGTGGCCAGGGACCTGAGACACCCCAGCATTTGATCCAACCAAGTCAGCTTTAGGGAGGAGCAGCCTTTCTAGAAATGACTGGTCAGCAAGATTTCCGGAGGGTCCAAAGAGCTCTCTCAGCCCCCTGACTGCCGCGGCTTCTGAGGAAGGCTGCAGACAGGAGGCCCCGCCAAGTCTCTGGATGCTGTCCTTCTCCAGGAAGGTAGTGCGGGCATATGCTTTGTACACCTGGGCCACGCAGCCTGAACCCACAGGCTCCTGGTTCTCAAAGGAGAGAACTCTCCCCCAGTCCTCCCCAAATGCCTGCTGCAGGAAGTGCTCAGTGTGAGTCCAAGGGTGCGGGGTCACTCGGACATGCAGCTTGGAGAACTGTGCACAGAAAGCCTCCGAAAAGAGGTCTCGCCGGGTGCTGGCCCACTGGCCCAGTTTGATGTACGTCGGACCTGAGGTCTCAGTGGCTTTCAGAAGCAGGCGGAGCCAGAGGCTGGAGACGCTGGGAGCCAGGTAGGTGAGTGGGTAGAGTAGAAGGAGGGGGAAGAATTTCAACAAGAGGGCGCCGGCCCGGAGCCACATGCGGAGGTGCAGGAAGACGCAGCCTAGCGGCCCTGCTTGGGAGAGCCTCTCCACTGGCCCGCTTCTAGCAGGGTCACTCCAGAGGGCCCTTCGCCGGCACAAGCTGTCAGGGGCCCCCTCATCGAAGTCCCCATAGGCTGAGATGAGTTTGGGTAAAGCACCCAGCAGAAGCCAACAGAGTCTGGCATTTCGAGAGCACCCCGAGGGTCTCAGAAGGCCTAGTTCCTTTCTGAGTTCAAAACCCCTTAGGTGCGACAAGCAGAGCCTGACAGACAAGCGCCAGGGGGTCACCATCCTCCCCAGAGCCCCACGGCCCAGGCTGCCTGCCCTCGGCTTAAGGCGCACCCATCCGGGCTGACGCTTTGGGCAACAGTGAGCCGCCCCCTGAGACCAGACCTCCGCGTGCAGCCTAGGCCCAGCCCTGACCCTGCAGCGCCGCCGACGCCGCCCGCGGGCCGCAGGGCGCTACCATCCTGCCAGACTCCGCGCCCGCCCCCTCCCGGCTCCTCGCCCGACCCCGCTGCGCCGGAGGGGGCGCTCAGAGCCGAACCGACTGCGGAGCGGGCGCTGCCAGGGCTGACACCACCCGCGCGAGGCGGCGCGCGACCGGAGGCAGGGCCGGCGGCCGAAGGGTCACCGCGCGCCCCGCCGCCGGCGCGAGACTGCGAGGGTGGCCGGGCGCGCGCCGAGGGCCGTGGCGCAGACCTGGGGGCGGGCGCCGGGCGGCCACTGGGCAGGAGCCGGGGTCGAGGCGCCGGGCCCGCGCGGCCGCGTCTTCCGGGAGCGCCCGCCCGCCCGCTCCGGACCCGCCCCTTAAAGGGGACGCGGCCCTAACACCCGCCCAGACTCCCCGTGCGTGGGTCCCGGGTCCGAGAAATAGATTTAACATAACACGCGAAAGCGCCCTTCATGTCGTCCCCCCACCCCCCGCGTCCATTTCTCCGCTGACTTCTTCGTAGCTTTCGTTATTACAAAGAGCTTGGAAGGGATGGGTTAAAGGCAGATTCTGAACACAGGTCCGCTTTGGGGGCTGGGGTGGGGTGCTGCTGGCAAATCTCTCTGTTGAGACTCGGTAACAAGTATTGAGCTAGGGATCATGCTGCACCCAGGGACGTGGATACACACACCCTGCCTTATAGGGTAATCACGCCATGAGGGGACCTAACGGGAACACATAAAGGTGCAATTTCAAAGTGTGGCGCGAAGCCATGGAAGAAGCGAAAATTAGGGGGCACCCATAGGATGGGGCTACCTGGAGAGGAAGAGAAGGCCAGGGAAGGCCTTGCGGCAGGGGGCCAGAAGAATAAAGCCCTAGAATACGAAGGAGTTTGGTGTGAGCTTTTGGAGAATAGGTATGTGTAACCTCGAAGAACCAAAGGGAGGTCACATGGCCCTGGTGACCAATAGGAGAGAGGTGGAGCTTGGGAATCAGCCACACAGCCACTGAAGGGACCAATGGCTTTGGTCCTCAGCCATCTTCTCTGCCCTTGGGATTTGTGGGTCTGCCATCCTGGGACACCGGGGTCACCCTGCGTGTCAACAGACTTCATCTCCTTGTGGGCGAGAGACTTCCACAGAAGTCTGGCCGAGGATGGGTCTGTGGCATCACAGGTAGAAGGGCCTGTAGCGCGACAGGGACAAGGACAGTCCGGTGCCCATGGTTCCCACAGCTGGAAGTGTGACAGCCACCGGCAGACCAAACTGTTAGACGCAGGCTGATGCTACAGACAGGAATGGAGGAGTGGCCAATGGCTCCTCCTGCCTTGTTAACAATCCACTCCACATTTCCTAAAGATGTTGCACACCTCTTTGCAGTTCCCCAAGTGCAAATCATACCTGCCACCACTGGTTTGAAATATGGCCAGCTATTAATTGTCTCCTTCCCTAACTTCCTCCTGATTCATTTACCCACTTGAACCCAAAGGTGCGTAGAATATTCTTGTATGCCTCTGATTCACCAAATGGCTTATTGAGACTCAATTTGAAACCAGGGGACTTGGATTCTAGCCCCTAATTAGTGATCCCAGGCAAGTCTCTCTGGACCTCTGTTACTCCTTAAGCAAAATGGGGGGGAAGTTCAAGTAAAGCTATGCAAGTTCAGCTAAAGGCTCTAGGAGTCCTCTGACTTGCATTTATGATTCTGGGAGTTAGTATGTTTAATACTAGTTAAGAACACAAATTCCGGAGCTAAATAAGCCTGGCTTCAATTCATACTTCTGTGTAACC